AGGTTGGTTTGAGTTTGTTCTGTGTTTTAAGTCCCAGTAAAACAAATGATAGGTAATTTCAGTTACTGTATATATCCTTAAGTATAATTTTTTGTTGTAACTTCCAAAACAAGAAGGGTGTTTGTTGAAACTAATATTTTTTTCAGTGTAAATTAAAATTTAATTCAGTATAGCTTTAATTTCAATAGAATTTAAAGCATAGCACAATCTAGGTTTTAGTGTTGTCGTTATAATAGTGTTTAACAACTTGTAATGCAAATTACAGAGTCCAGATCATAAAAGAAAAGGTAAAAATATGTGTATTTTCAGATCTTGAATAAGATGTCCAGTCAACAAAGGAAATGTGTCATGTGCATGTGCAAACTGAATAATTTGTAGTAAATCTAAATTTACTAATTATTTAAACTGAACATAGGAATTAATTTATCTTCATTGTTCACTTTGAGTGAAAAGACTTCAGAAACCTAAGGACAAACCTATTTTCATATTCTTAATTCAGCAGGGCCTAACCATGACCAGCAAGGTGAGGAGCAGTTCATACATCCCCTGGCACAGACCACTCCAGGAAGAGCTGCCTTTAGAATTCGGAAATTCAACCAGTATGGAAAAAAGTGTCAGTGTTTATGTCTGTCTTCAGTTTTTGTATTTCAGTGGTTCAGATTTCACTTCAAATTCTTTGAGATCTTCAGCACATGGAAGATTAGAATCAGTAATTTAGTATCATAATGAAGAGTAATTAAGGCCTTTCCCAGATACCAGAAGGTGATCAAGGAAAGCTCGCTTCTTTCTTTCCAAGTCTCATCTGCTGCTATCAAGAGCAAATGAAGCGCAACTCATGGTTAATGAAGTTTTTACTATTCTACTAAAATAAAATTTAGTCTCTTAAGATGCCTCCCTTTTGCCTTTCCTACATAATTTCTGTCCCTACTTTGTCTATTTTAGTGGAGTCATAGGCCATATTTAGCCCAGACAAGCATTTTTAGGTTTTACTAATTTCAAAACATTGTCAAGTAGATATACTAGTGTGTCTTCTCTATATATAGTCAGCTTGATTCATGTGCCTGTAAGTTCATCTAAGACTCTTTCCACTGTTGCACAGAAAACAAATGATCTTTCAGGGAAATACATGTCAGTGTTTCAATCACTGCTGATGCTTTTCAGTTAGGATTATTAAAAATCTCAAACTTTATTCTCCTAGAAGTGCAGAGCAACTGCACTTTAATAATTTTAGATGTTGGAGTCCAGTTTAAGAGGATGATTTGTAGTGGTAAGGCACTACAGTGATTAATGAGATTTTAGTAGCTTTTCCATAGCTTCTGACCTAGAGAAAAAAAAATCAAAAAAAAAAAAAAAACAAAAAAAAACCCAAAAACACCCCAAACCCATAAGGCAGATTAGTTGTGTGCCTTTCGCTGCTTCTTCTAAAATGTTAATGGACCCCTAAAGGTTTCATTTTTGAATGAGAACCATATCAGCAAGAATTTTAGCAGATGCAGAGAACATTGAAGGAACTTGTGAAAATTCCTTGTGTTCTTCTTTATAAAGTCTGTTAGGCACATTTGGCACAAGTTGTGAATCTGACTCTGATTTACAAGCATTTAAATGGTCCAAATAAAATGCCTTTTCTGTAATACTTTTATATTTTCCCTTTTTTTCCAAGTGTATATTAAGTACACATCTGAAGAAACAATATTGTACTCCTTTATTTTAGATGTAGGTAGCAGTCACAAGAGATTAAATGCTGTTACGTATAACGAAGCATGAAGATGGCAAGATATGAACCATGGGCTTTTCAGCTCAATCACATCATCCAGCACATAGTTATATAGATTTTGTATTTCAGACACCAATGTCACCTCGGGGTTGAAAGTGAGTAAGTATAAATAAGATAGTTGCCCACACCCCAGTTACCTTCCAAATTTAAAAATAGAAAGGAAAATGAGTCGTCCCGAGTTTAGAGATGAGTTATTTTTGTGTGGTGTTTGTGATAAATTCTTTCTAAAATAAACACAGTAATAAATTGTCATCTTTTTTCCTCTCATATTTTAAAGGGACAGCCTGCTTCTAGTGACAGAGAACTAGACTAGACTGATCCTGGTCTCTTTTAGTATTTGACTTATACATACAGCACTATCTCTTAAAGTCATTAATTGTATCAAGCAAAATATTTTTCTGTAGTTTTTCTATTAAATTTCTTTAAAGCCACATACAGAATGTTGCTTCCCATGTTGCATTTTAGTTCCACTGACTCTAATACGGATGATACGCTGATGGGCTTTTGAAATCCTGAAAAAGATGAATGTAACAGGGAGTTTACCTGGGACTTCAAAAAATAATACAAATCATTTAACTACTATTACAAAATTTTTATAAATGCTGAATAAAGTTGACAACTAATAAATGTATCAACCTCTGTTAATTTAGTTCCTTCACTTCATTACAGAAACGCAATATTGATCAAAAATTTATTAGCAGTGTTCTGCTAAAGCCAGCGGAGGGCAGACTTGAATTGGAAACTCTTTTTGCCACTGCAGTTACTTGAAGTTAAAGTACCAGATATACCGTGTCTGGAGCTCAAAGTCTCATCACTTCTCTGCTATTCTAATTACACTTGTTCTGGATAAAAGCCTCTTTGCAGTTGCTGTTTGACAAAATGAGTGTTTTGCAAATGTTTAAATAAAGATGCTAATATGAAAGTGAATAAGTCAGTGTATTAGCAGCTGTGTGTTACTCATCAGGGATAATCCACACTGCTTAATTCTTAACCATGTATATCTTGAAATGTTTGTTAAAAGCTAGTGAATATAATTATCCCCATTTTACAGATGAAGAAACTGAGGAATAGAGTGGTAATCCTACACATTACCCATCTGGGTGACCTACAGAAACAAGAACAAAATCCAGATTGTTGAAATCTAATCCAGAGCTTTGCAACATAAACTATTTTAACTCTTGCAAACATTATGGAAGTGATTGTTCGCACCTTAAATTGTGGAGATTGAGGAGCTTACAGTGATGAAATAGCTGGCAACCTGACAGGTTATAGATCTTAAGAAGAATATTCTTCTCAAGAAGATGGGTGGCAGTCAGATCAAATGCCTAAAGATCCACTTTAAAAGAACATTTTGATATTAAAACAAGTACTTCACATTGTTAGGCACATTTGTTATTCATTAAGTTAGGCTGTAGCCTGTGACTGTGATAGCCTGTGACTGACATTTGTTATGTGCAATGTGTCATGGCTTCCCACATTTTTAAGTTCTGTGTGAAGGTTTGTAAGAATATATTACAAAAGAGACCACTTTAAGCTTCTTGGTCATTTCTCCTTGTACCTCATGTAATTGTACACCTCACAAAGAGCTGTCACCTCCAAATTGTCATCACTTTCCATAATTCACAGAGGCCTGAATATGCAATTATCTCAAAAGGGAAAATATTCATTTACTCTTCTGCAGAACATAACATCTCCTTGAAATAACTACTAATTGAAGGCATTTGTATACAGGCTTATTTTATAGTAAACCACTGGATGCCTCAGCTCAAGAAGCAGTAAGAAAGATAACAATTCAATTAATGAAAACTGCTGCTTTGAGAAATGTGGTTTCCAGTGTCAAAGTTATTTTATTCATCCCTAATTATACATTGCTGAAAACTATTAACCAGTATTAGGGGCAGATAAGTGTGACATTTGTGGGTATGGGTGGTTTTTCCTGCTGTAAGCTTCACAGGTTTACACCTCTACCTCCATAATGATCTTTTCTTTCACTAATCCTAGTTGGTGTATATTCTGTTTGTACCAAACTTTCTCTTTTATTTGTAAAATATGCGTGAAATATTCAAAACCTTAGTGATTTAAGAGCAGTTAAGATACTACTTCCTCAGAGACACATCATTGTTACATACAGTTGTGTTTGTTGTGCTGAGCAGACCCAGCTGACTTACAGTTAAGGCAAAATAACTGTATTAGAGCAGGTTGGCCAAAAGCTTGTCCCTGTATTTCTTTACATGGAAAATAAAGGATAGATGTATGTACTGTCTGAATAGAGAACATGATGATGTTGTGTGCCTGTGCCAAAATAAATCCAATAGTATTTTACCGGAAAAGTAAACTCAGTTTTGGATTTAAAAAAATTGGACTATGCCATGTATAAAATACATATTTGATCAAGATCAGTTCCTCTTGTAATGTTCCTTCGGAGGTGAGAGTTTTAATGACAGGGAAAAGACACTTCTACATCTACGGAATTTAAAGCCTGCTGCTGTCAAGTGGCCAGGACCCTTAAATGTGTGTTGAAGTGTCCTACTCTTAGTACATCAAAAATGTTTATACTTGCTGTCCCAAGTAGTAGAAAGAACACCAGCAAGTGCTTCCATGTTTAGAATTCTGTGGAGTCTGCTACCTGTGAGCAGACTCCACTTAAATAAAGTCTCTGGAATTACTGATTGCTAACCTCATTCTTGACATACTTCAGCCTCCAACAGCCTGCTGCAACTTCTGTTACACCTCCTGGGATTCTATCTATAGCAGTTGCTTTCTCTCCCCAGTTGGCTCCAAGCCAGAAATATATCCATTTGCACAAATGCTTCTTAACCTTGTTCACATTGGAGCTGGAAGGGGGGGGGGGGGGGAAGTGGGGGGGAATAATTTTTTTTTTTTCTTTCTGCTTGTCTGGTTGGTGGATACTTTTATAGGAAATTCCGTACTTGCCATGTTTGGACAAGTGGTTACAATGCCTTTTCCAAAGTACTCTTTGTTTAAGTGCACTGAATAAAACTATTTCTCCATGGTCATTTCATGGGCATCTTACTGTAACATGGGAGTCCTAAGCAAACACATTTTATCAATTTTCTGATAAGGTTGTATTCTTCCTTCTCACTAGGGCATTCTCAGCTGACAGAGAAAAGCCTTCAAGACTTGCAGAGTAGCAAGCACTTCTGGAGGCTGAAAAAAACACTAAGGCACAAACATTTCTCATCAGCTACCTGGCAAGTTCCAGTCATGAAGAAGTCCCTGTCATGAATAAATTGGTTTATAACTGACAGGGAAGATTGTGCTTACCACAGGAATGCTACTGGTACCCGAACTAGCTTGTCTTCATTCTGGAAAACCTGCAGCTCACACACATACATGTACAGCATCCAGCTCTGGGGTCCTCAGTGCAGGAAGGACATGGATCTGTTGGAGCGAGTCCAGAGGAGGCCACCAAGATAATTAGAGGGATAGAACACATCTCCTACAAGGAAAGATTGAGAGAATTGGGATTGTTCAGCCTAGAGAAGAGAAGGCTTCAGGGTGACCTAATTGTGCCCTTTCAGCAACTGAAGGGAGCCTATAGGACAGATGGAGAGGGACTTATTACAAGAGCATGTAGTGACATGATAAGGGGTAATGGATTCAAACTGATGAGTAGGCTTACATTAGACATCAGGAAAAATTCTTTGCTGTGGGGGTGGTGAGGCACTGGAACTGCTTGTCCAGATAAGTTGTGGATGCCTCATCCCTGGAAGTGTGTAAGATCAGGTCGGGGTTCTGAGTAACCTGGTCTAGGGAAGGTGTCTCTGCCCATGGCAGGGGAGTTGGAACAAGATGGTCTTTAAGGTCCCTTCCTACCCAGGCAATTCTATGATTCTATGTACATGTGTATAGACACTTCTGCATTATATGTATATAAATGTAAACAGAACTGCAGGTTTATCAGAATTAATTGAAAATTAGCCAGCTTGGGTATCAATACCAGCACCATTTCTGAGGATATAAACTTCAGCTGCAACTTTGAAGTCCTCAGTGTTTCAACTACCTAGAACTACCTCTGCAAATATTTGATATTAGGAGCACTTTGATTGGAGTAATTAGGTTGATAAATAGGAGTTCTATGGTAAAGGCAGGAACAGATAGTCCTGATTTTTCTGACTCAAATTTCCACAACAAAATTTTTTTTAAATGTTTTCATGCACTTCTGTACAGTTGTGGTGAATGCTGTACCAGAGTCCAATCCAAGTTCTGGAAAAGACAAAAAGGATGTGGTCACAAACATAGTCACAGACCATGGCTCTATGTTTGCATGCTAAATCATGAACAAGGATTCTGCAGTAATATTTACATAGGACAGTGTGTGGCATCTCTCACTGCATTATTCTGTGGCATCTTAACCACATTTAACTTCCATTTTTATTAGATCTCAACCTTAGGGAAAAAAATGCAAGTTCTAGCTTGTGCAAAATTTTATTTATTTCCTGCTCTAAAAAATACAGCCTTGCAACTTCCAGTCCTCTCGGGTGTCCAAATACCTACCCCTAGAAAACATTCCTCTGCAGTAGAACTCATAGGGTAAACTGCTGGATCAGTAAAGTTCAGTTGTCTCTAAGGTACTGTATCATGCATTTGCAATTTTGTTCTCCCCTTAATGCAGTTGGAGTTTCAGGCTATCCCATTTAACTGCATCTATGTCACAAGTCACTGACATCACAAACACATTTTAGCCACAAATTAATCAAGTTACAGAAAGAACAATAAGGTTACTAAAAGAACAGGTTTTAACATTCTACTTTCAAATAATAGTGAGTAGCTAAAAAACACTAAAAGCCAGGAGCATGCAAGCTCCTACTGGTCAGTTTTCAGTTGATCAGCTTTTAATAACTACCTGCAAAAGATTAATTAGTGACTTCACTGTGCTATCCTACATTTCAAAGTGTCTAATTGCTGTCATGTAGCTGCACACCTTACACGACTGCTAACTCCACTTCATCACTTCATGCCCAGCACTGGTCAGCACTAGCAAACCTCAGCTTCAAGATTTAAGGTAGAGCCAGCATTTTGCCTCCTGTCAGCAATAATCTATAACTTCCATTACTGGGAACAAGAGAAAAGATATTAAACCAGGAATGGTTTGGTTTTCACCTACTAACAGTAAATTTAGAGCAGTAACTTCATTACATCAGTGGGAAAAGCCTGTTCAAATCTTCCAGTATGTCATGGGAAATACAGACTATCAATTTTCCATTCCTATTTTGGTGGGCATAATTTTGTTATTTTTAAAGCTGTTGATATTGGCCACCTCAGTGTTTTCATTATTTCACACATATTTTGGCATTTCAAGAAGTCTGTGCTTCAGCAGATATAGAGGATATAGTGTGTGGGTCCACAAATTTAGAGTTTCTTTCACCAAGTATGATATATTACATTTACAGGCTTCATTTACCCTTCAACAGAACATTCATCTGCGTGCTGTCAAAGACTGGTGGAGGGGGGGGCATTAAATTGGATATTTTAGAGAGATTATGAATTCTAATAAAAGGGCATCAGGAGTGTCTACAGCAGTTGTAGTGATCTGTAACAGCAAAGCAAAGGATGATGTGAGTTAAGAATGAATGCAAATGTGTGAAAGCAACAGCAGGCGCAGCAGAACAGAGGGTTAAAAGGACAGACACTTGTTAACACAGAAAACCCTTCCCAGCAGAAAAGTTAAGGAACTGCTCTGTTTACATCAAGGCCAAAGACCTGCACTTTGAAAACAGCCACAACACAGATGACCTGTCAGCAAATAACCCAGGATCCTGATCCCAGGAGGATGGTACCAAGGCTGCAGCGTCAGATACACCTTGCCTTTCCTGTTACCCTGTCTGCAAAACACACATGTTGAAAACAGGGGAAAACAGGCAATGGGCAGCATCCTGGCCTATAATTTGTGGAGAACAAAGTAAACAGGATTCTGAGGTAAAAGATATCGGCTGATGCCTCCTGAGGTAAATGTCAGATCCATCCAGAAACCACTTTGTTGTCCCTAGTCAAGGGCTTGTAGTGAGGGCGTAGCAGCAGCATCCCTGTTCCTTTTTGTCAAGCTGAAGGGATCCTGGCCAGGCCACTGGGACTCTATGAGTTGGTAATCAAGAATATAGAAGTGTCAGAGTGTCAGAGAATTAACTCTACAGCAGAATGAGTGCGAGTGCATAAAATCAACTTGCTTAAAGATTTTGTAAATAAATACCTTTCATAAGATCTCACACTGATTCCTGTGTTACAGCAATTTCCCACTCTTACACAAATGAACAGTCATGCTTGCTGAGGACCATATCATAATTCCCCAACAGACAGAGGGACAGAGATGCTCATGACTTGTTCTAATTCTTACATTCCTTCCTAGATGTGGCATAGTAACAAACTCTGTGGTGATTTATCTACAAGTACATAGATTATAATTTCCTCCTTGAGCTTTTCCATAAGGTTGGTTTGCCTGACACAGATGGATTTTGTACAGCATTTCATGACATGGAATTTAGGCTTCTTTGAGAAGACCCTAGAGTTTTCTTCTGGAGTACTCCACTACTGGAGTAAAATAATCATTGAATCATAGTTGAGTAGTTATTGATAAAAAACAAATAACTCCATGGAAAGACACATGAAAAACAAGGGTTGGAAAGAAAGTGAAGGAGGAAAGCTGAAAAAGTGTGATGTAAGACCTGAAACAATAAAAATGAGTTGGCCTGATACAAGGACAATATGGACTTAGCCAGAGTCACAGTATTACTCAAAGTTGGTAGGACGTGTGCATAATGCCTTCCAACACCCCACACTATTCTGGATCTGTAGTGCTAGAAGGGCTCAGCTACAACAAGGCTGGACTGTAGCATGCAGAAAGGGAGATTTGGATTTGTTTTCTTTCACAAGCTTTGATAGGGTTCACATATCAACAATGAGATTAGGGCAACAGAGAGTATGGCCCTTTGCACCTCCCTGTAAAAACCTGGAGAAATAAATACCTTTGTCCTCCTCCCTCACCATAGTAACACTAAAATAAGCTACAATATGTATGTCCATTTACCTTGTCAGCCAGATGTCAGTGAGGCTCAAAGTCCTTGTGTTAAGTACTGCAAAAGGCTTTTCCCAGAGGACTAATCAGATGTTACCTGGGAGTTGGCTGTTTTCGATCTTTGACACGTATCATGTTTGTTCTGACACAATTATATATTTATTCTTTCAAATTTCTTTTGCAGAAAGTAGAAAGTCTACTGGTAGCTCAGCAGCCAGTCTGCCCCTGCTGTAACCTTGAGCTGGTCTTTCTAAATGTGTTGAGAATGTTACACCTGCTAATTTAGCAAGGACTGGTGACATGCTCAGTGCTGCATAAAAGAGCTGCTCCCTCACAGCAACTGAAGAGGGCAGGGGCTATAAGGAATTGATGCTACTTAGAGGTCAATGCCTGGCAAAGCTAACCTGATAAGTGTGAAATCTTTGAGATGCTAAGTTTGTGTCCAAACATTCAAATGTTTTATCATTATTGACATCACAAACAGGATTTTCTACCCAAGTAAAATGTCTTAAATCCAGCAGTCTCATAATTGTCCTGTCTGGAGTGTCTCTAGATCTATAGAGCTCTAGAGCAGAAATTCCCTCTGTATTTCTTCTCTTACAATCAATCCTAGAAGGCTTGCCAAGCTTCTGCCTTCATGTATATTTGGCACTCAAATCAGAAAATGAGCTCTTGGGAGGGGGAAAGCCTAGTTGCTAAGAACTGTGTCTGCCACACAATAAACTATGTATTTGAGGGGTGAAAAAAGGGATGTGCAAAAATAGGTTTAAACCAAATTTGTTCCCTCACACAGCTGGACCAGGATAAGTGTCCTGAGGGATACTCTCAGCTGACTACCAAGACCTGCCAGAGGAAGGAGATGTCCTGACTGGAAGATGTGCAGCCTAGCCTGGTGACAACAAAAGCTGCTCCACTGAGGGTGCTCAGGACTCTCATGCTCATAGCCAACAACATCAACTTCTGACTTGTCATGCAAGACAGGTCACCAGAGCCCAGCACAATGAGTAATCCACTTGCTAGTTCATCTTCAAGGATAAAGAGTCTTAATTTGGGCACTACTAAATTACAGAGCTTCAAAATTACACTGCTGAAATTTAATTAAGCTGTGAAAGCAGCCAGGCACTGAGTACTGACAGTAATTCAGCCATGCCACAAGTGCTCAGCCTCAGTTCTGCTGCAGCTCCATAGGGGACAGCAAGGCAATAACCAGGAGCTCAAAAAAAGAGGCACATGAGCCATTCCCAAAATGTAATGAGCTCTCATTCAGCTGTGTAACAGCTGTTTTGAAGCCATCACATAAGCATTTTCATTAAAATATAAAGAAGATCATTGGAAAACCCTGAGAAAAAAAAAAAAAAAAGCCTCATGAACCTGCCTGCAAAGAAGCACAATGTAAGGAGGCCAGCCCAGGCATCACTTGCAAATGGAGGTCAGACTATCAAATCTCCAAGAAGATGAGGCACATGCTGAGGAAAAGGTTTGGTGTGTTACCCTGGCTACAGAGGCAAAGGGTGCTCTATCATCTGCTGATAGGTACATGGTAAATACTGCTTTGGTTAACTAACTGCAAGAGAGAAATCTCAGGGGAGCTGAATGAAAGGCTGGCACCTCTGACAGTTGTCTTGTGAGGTTTATGTGACAGTAATATAATAACAGTCATGGCCAGACCTTTGACCATGAGGGCAGAATTCAGCTGTGCTCAGAGTTTTTGGAAGCCATCAGGAGTGGACAGGAAATGGAACAGGATCATAGAATCATAGAACAGTTTGGGTTGGGAGAAACCTTATAGATTTCGTAGTTCCAACCCCTCTGCCATCAGGCAGGGACATCTTCCACTAGACCAGGCTCCTCAAAGTCCCATCCAACCTCACAGAGATAATCTCCTTCTGTGTATTTTATATACAACACATAGACAAACAATGAAAAAGACACATACTAGTGTTTCTGGCATGCTTTCCTTGTAAAATTTCCATTTGGGAACAGAGCATTTTTAAAATGCTGGCATTTCTGTGTAAGAAAATCCCATGGTCCCTCCCAGCCCTGTATAGATGGTAAGTGTTTCTCTGATTGCATGGTCACGATTAGGTCTAGCAAGTAGAATACAAAGCATTAGAAAAATCACATTGCTGTTCAACAAGTAACTCTGTCTGCCCTGACCAGCCCAGTGAGAAGACACTGAAATTATGGAATACATGCCTTGACCCCTAAACTATAGAATACCTTTAAGTAGTGGGATAGGTTCCCTTCCTCCAGAGGCAAGTTTGCACTACTGTCAGAAACTTTGGTTTGTTCTCATTCACCTTCGGGCAGCTGAGTTTCTGTTAACACAGAGAAAAGGTGATAAATCTGATAAACACTGTTAGAAGACCATCTTATCTGCAAACATGCAAACAAATTCCATTTACCTCTCTGTAACACTTTGATGTCTGTGTAGGCTGCCAGTGGTATCAGTGCTGTTGGGTCTTTTTTGATTCTTTAACGGAGATACTCCATTTTCCTCCTCCACAGGAATCATAAATGGTAGCTGTTCCTTATGCAGAAGGACTCCTTATTTCTTACACTGCAAAACACCCTTTGAGTAAAAGGGAGAAGATGGAATGGTATTTTTGTTTCTGCCTGAAAATGCAGATCCATACCATAACTACACAGACAAATGCAGGAAGTGGAGTGGGATGTATAAGCACATTTTCAACTCAAATGCCAACATTTCTGGGCATGCTGCCCCAAACAGTCTGGTGTTTGAGTAGACACCAGCTCTTGGATAGATTTCTGCACTTTGAGAAGTAAAAGTGCCTCTCAGAAATGCCATTCATCTCGGCCCTTGGGAGCAGAGACCCAGAATGAAACCCACTTGCTCATGTGTTCCTAAGAGGGCCAAGGTTCGAGGGAGCAACCCAAGGTTTGGTCAGATTTGAGAGGGCTCTTATGCCATAGAGGCACACATGACTGATATGCCTTTCAAGCAGACACCTTATGTATGACTGAAAGATGACCTCCAGAGATGCTCCTAGACCAGCACCGCAGCACTACAGACCTGGGACCAAACAGATCAAGCCACTACAGAAGCTCAGAGCTCGCATGTCGAAAGCTCTGGTTGGTTCTATGAGGTATCCATGAAGTATGAGTGTTGGCCCGGAAAAAACAAATTTGAAAGCCATTGACTTTCAAGTAATAATCTGCATGCAGGTGATGTTCTTCTAGGAAACTGTGGACCTAAAAAAGGAGGTTTAAGGTATGTGCAATCAAAACATAGTCTAAGATGAAGGAGGACATTCTTCTCTCACAGGCATCAACGCTGCCACTCTGACTGAATTCAGAAGTCAAGGCGTTTGCTGATCAAATACAGAACATCCATCTTCATTCCAGGCAAATGGAAATATTTTGAAAGGATGCTGGAGCCTCCCATGAGGTGCTGTGAATAGTGACAGAAGAAAGCAGTACTGTAGCTGACCTATTGAAATCAGATCAATGCTGTGCTCTCCTTTTGGAGCAAGCCTTTCTGGCTGCAGCTGTCATGAGGAGGAAGTGACATCAAAGGCTCTAGTCTAAGTGGGCAAAGCATTAATTACCCTTTAATCTTCCTATGATTTTTTATCCATGCTTTGGAGTCCTCAATGTAAGTAAGTGCAGATATTCAGGCAAATACCCAAGTCCCTGTTTTCCAGACACAGGTGAATAACTGAAGGTTTAAGTAGCGTGCTTTCTCCTATAGGTGAGGGTACTGGATACTTTCGCATCTTCAAACAACTAAATGTTGTAAAGACTCAACTTCCTTTTTCAACATGTTTCTCACTTTTTAAGTTATTAAGGAAGAAGAATGACTAAACACACTGACTTATGCACAGTCTAATAAACTGGACTAATAATGGTTTCCTGCCATCAGAAAACATAATATTTCTGCATGCCATGTCCAATACTGAGCTACCTGAAGCAGAATGGAAGACATAATTGATGTGTGCGTAGGAAAGTGCTTCCCTTTCACTGTTAGCCGGACCAGCTTCATTAAGCCACCTTCTCTACCACGCTGAATTGCTCTTCTTACCTCATACACATTGTTAGACTCTGCCTGATCCTCACAGATGAAAAGTGCTTACTCAGGGGAAAATCTGAGGAACATCTGGCAATGTGTTGTAGTGCATATTGCTTATTACCTTTTTTAAATTGTGATAATTATATCATCATCTCCAGTTCCAGGGGCTGCAGGTTACAGATTTGAGCTCTACTGTACCCAACATTCAGCCTCTCAGGTTTAAGGCTTTGTCTTCATTCCCACGGTCATTTGTAGTATCTGAACCTACACAGGTCAGTCCTCAAGCCTGAAAATCCATCAGGACAGGAGAGACAGAGGATCAATTTTTATGGGATCCTAATTTGAATACCATGCTTGGTTTCTAAGCAGTGTTTTAGGGCAGGCACATGTAAACTATCAAATGGACAATAAACTTTTGAGAAAAGCAGTCCTTTATACAACTCTGCATTTTTTTAGTTGACACCCAAAGCTGTTATAGAGTAAAAGTAATCAATTTCCAGATTTCAGTTTCAGGCAGCTCTGCTTAGCTTCAAAGAGTCTGCAGAAAAATTGCACTTGACAATAGCACTCTTCTTAGTAATTCTTGCCTGGTCCTAGGAGATCTTTCTGACACTTAATCTATTTTATTTTGGTTTTCAGTCCAAAGAAGGACAGTGAAGCTGGTAAGAGGTCTAGGGCACAAATCTCACAAGGAGCAGCTGGGGAAGATGGGGGTGTTAAGCCTGGAGAAAATGAAGATCAGAGGGGACCTTGTTGCTCTCCAGAGTAAATGTGGGGGCCAGTCTCTTCTCTCAGGTGACAAGTGAGAGGAGAAGAGGAAATGGCCTCAAGTTGTGTCAGAGGAGGTGTGGAGAGGATAATAGAAAAAAATTCTTCCCTGGAAGGGGTGTCCAGCATTGGAACAGGGAAGTGGTGGAGTCACCATCCCTGGAGGTACTTAAAAGATATGTAGATGGGGCACCTGGGAACATGGTTTGGTGGTGGGCATGGCAGTGTTAGGTTAGCGGTTGGATACAATGATCTGAAAGATTATTTCCAGCCTCAACGATTCTTTGATTTTTTGCATCTATTTACCATTCAAAAATCAGACTAATACAATGTACTATACAGATGTTAGATTCTTGTTGGCTATATAGCCTAATTTTAATTCCTACACTTTGAATGAAGATTAGTTTTATGTGACACTGAAAGCATTCACCTCTCAGTAAGGCATTTAGCACAGGGGTATAGCAGCTCCAGCTCCTCCAGAGCAGTGATCAATAACAGTGACACATTACTCTTATGCCACAGCAAGTGACATATGGCCATGTAGCTGCACATTATAATTAACAACTGATTAACAACAGAAAGAGGATTGACTGTTACATTCAATTAACTTGCCTTCCTTTCAGCTGACAAGCAGCTGAGTGCTGAACATTTAATACACTTTTTGCAAATTTCCTTTCCTGCAAGTATTATAATTGCAGTAATTAGCACAGATCACATATGACAGCAAAACTCTCATTTCATCTATACAATAAAGTAGCTTAGAAAAAGTTAGGTTTTGTCTGTTTTATTAATTAACTAACCAGTATTTCTCTTCTACCACAAATTCTCATAGAATTCCATGTAGTTTTTCAGATAATTTAGTCAACTTCTAGATAACTCTACAGAAAATTTTCCCAAGAAATATGATTGGGGTTGTCATCAGTTGATGACAGTCACGTGCACATCTACAAAGAGGTACATCTGTGTACCTGTGTGAAGAATGATCCAGGTGTCTCACATTTTCTGTTAAATGAGTTGTTATTTTCTCACATGCTGTTTCCTTTTCTTTGGACTATATATTAGTCCATAGGGAAAAAGCTGCCAAGGCACCCTGAACCTCCTTTTTTTTCTTTCTTCTGTTTTCCATATGGTGGCCTGCTCGTATTCCCTAACAGGGACTCGATGTTTTATTTGACTTGACATTTTGATTTGCCTGTCAGAACAGTGTAGAGGTTAGAAGTGACTGGTAAGAGTGGAAAGGAGTTTATGCTAGCTATAACCTTCCCACTGAGCAGATACTGAGAAATTTGAGCAAAAGTTGTCAAGTCAGATCACACTCCTGACAAAACGACCCACGGAGTGCCTTCAGGAGGGTAACCCTGCTGAGCTTCATGTCATCCATTCAGGTAATGAAAGCCATGAAGAAAAAGGTTAATGCCAGTACTTTGTATAGCACAGTCCCACAAACCTCAAGGAAATGTAATCTGCTGTGGTAACTGAGAGCAGATCAGGCACTGACCTTGAGTCACCGCGTTGTTCCTCCTGGCATTGAGTCCCCTCTACTCAGAGGGTGGTGCCACCAAGGGCAGCTGTGGGGTCACCGTGGTGCAGGGAATGATGCACAGCTCAGGCTGTGCCCTGCCCACGGTGCCCGGCCTCCTGCTGCCATTTCCAGGAGTGACACCGACCACAGGAACACCTTTGGCCTTCAGATGTGCATCACTCTGTCCTTGTACTGACCGGCCATGGGGTGGCAATGTCAATCCTCAAGAAAACAGTTTCTTACACTTGCTTGCTGCTCCTCCCTCTTTGTGTTTTTTCCCTTGTTCTCTTTCTATAGTGAAGGAATCTGTACTTACATTTACATTTCCTTACAGAAGTTGAATTCTGCTTTTTCTTCTAGGAATAGTTCATCACCAAGACTTTCTGCCCCCACGAGGCTAGACATTCTCTTCTGCTCCCTCTTCATTCAGTTCCTTGCAGGTGCTCAAGTATATTCCTTAAATTAATTTTATGTTAAATGTCAACTTTCCACACAATTTTCCTCTCATTCTGAAGGTGGCAAATGCCAGAGAGTCAAGCCTTCAGCTAAATCTTCTTTGAGCATTTCATTTTGTGCTTTCCAAAAGGTACCAGACATACATTTCTTGGCAGCAAAGCATGACAAGAAAATCATCAGCACTTAAACTTACGTAGAGGAGTGCAGCCACCAGTGCTGCCCAGAAATGTTCTTCTAGTCCCGTGGTAGGTTGTTTCAGGACTAAATTCCCTGTATTTGTTACTGTGATAGTTCCAGCACTTTATGTCCTTTCCAAAAAGGAAGCAAAGGCAGGGAAGGGGCAGAATGGCACAGCACAAGTTCTGCCTGATGAGAAGATGCCTGCCCTTGCAGTCAGGATGGAGTCAAGGGAGAAGAGATTTCTTCCAAAAGCTCTCAGCTTTATATGTGTCTCATTTTGTGCAGTTTCTTCATTCATACAAAAGTGCCTCCAAAAACAGGCAGAGAGGAAACGACATTTTGAACTGCTCTTGCAGCCTCTGGTTTCGCCTCCCATTCACCTCTTTTCCCACAGCTCAGTACAAAGTGTGCTTTGTGTGACACGTTCCTCCTTTCAAGCATGAAACAGAACTATCCCTCAGCCCTTGTGCTGTACACTGCCTACTCTTGTTGGAGTAGGAAGGAATAATTACAGGGACTGTGTACGTGGTACTGAATGTCAAGGCATATTAAAACTGTTCAGTCTCTCAAGAGCAAATCAAAATTCTTCCAAGGGGCTGCTTTTCTGCCTGAAATTGAATTACATCATCAAGTACCTTAAAAGTAGATTTACCTAGTAACTAATTTTGTTGGTGTATTTAAGAATTTACTCATCTCACCATAACCAGAATGCGTCAAAACTCTTTGTGCTCCCAACCACCACCATTTTTCATCCAGTATGGCTCCTCAGGTACAGCACCACCCACCATTCATGGAGAATGGGGCCCATGTATCGTGCTGCTTTCTGTATCACACATGCCAGGTTTTAAGAAAAAGGTGGGTCATACAGTCTGGATCTTGGAGAAATCAATTGCTCAGCAATTTCTTATTTGTCCATAAGCATATTTTATTTTGTGCAATGATGCCAAAGCAGGGAACT